GGGGGGGGGGGGCACGCACACAGGGAGGGGAGGGAGGGAGAGAGAGTGAGAGTGTGTGATAAATATATATATATATCTTTAAGAGAGATAGTGAGGAAGACGGTGTGGGGGCTGAAATAAGTCGCCGGCAGAGACACCCCACTGTACAAACATGTACACCATCACCCCTGGAACGGCAGTCCTCTACCACAGACCACAAGGTACTTTCTAGGCGTGAGTGTCACTGAGCAATGGCAATTGTAACAAGCAGAATATGGGACCTCGACCCACTGGTCGTAGGTGACCCCACTGGTCGTAGGTGACCCCACTGGTCGTAGGTGACCCCACTGGTCGTGGGTGACCCCACTGGTCGTAGGTGATATGAGATATCACAAATCTCGGGCCGAGGTATAAAGCTCGATTACTCCAGGACGAGAGGGATGCACAAACCGAACGACACACTTTCGGAGAGTTCTCGACGAGAAGCATCCAGCGCAGCCAGTTTCGGGACCGTCACCGTCTTTGGAGCAGATTTAATCGAGCTTTTAAAATTGGTCTATGGGGTATGATATCTCATGTCACCTACACGGTATTTGCGTTGGCGTCGTTTCGTTATTGAGAGAGACTTGGCAGCGGCATCCAGCCCAAGCAGCCGACGAAGAGGCTTTCGCACGCGATCGCACCCACCGTAACCATAACACACACATGAACCACCGTACCGCGATACTACAGTAGCCAACCTGTCGGTGATTAGAGAACTCGCCTTGTTCCTCGCAACCCGCTCGTCTCAGGCATGGGCAAGCATACAAGTGGCGAGCGGGCAAAGCTACGTGTACTGTATCTCCTGACAGACTCTTACGGCCGCCGCTGCTGCTGCTGCTGCTGCTGCTGCTTAGAGAGCTCTCACCCATCGTATTCTCCACCCTCCAGATTCTCGCCCCCAAAGCGGGCGAAACCGCTAAAAACTAGCGATACAACCTACGGTACCCTGCTGCTGTGGACAGCAGCTGTGCAGCCATCATGTCCTTGCTCACCTGTGAGGCCTGGCGAACTTCTCAGCCGCTCTCTCCTCCGCGCGTCTCTCCACGAGCACCTCCTCCTCGTCTCCGGTCCTACCGAGAGGGAGCTCGATGTCATCCACGCGCCCATTCGACCCTAGCACGCTCCTTCCGCTCCCGCTCGCTACGACCCTTGATCCTGCGCCTCGCGGCCTTACCGCCCTCCCCGCCGCCGCCTTGTTCGAATCGCTGTGTACGGTAAATTTCAACCCAGGGGCGAGGAGCGGCTGCTTCCCCGAGAGCTTGGACGGGGCGTTGTTGGTCGCCACTGGCGGAGGGGCGTTGCCCGCGTTTGAGATGTCGCCTAGCGCCCGTCGCGGCTGTTTCTTGGCGGAAGAGTTCGGGGGAAGGCCTCCGAGCCCCCCTCCACCGCCGGCCGCTTTTCCTTTCGCGGCCGAAGGCGGTGCGTTTTCGGAGTAGCTGCCCAGGGGTTTGAGCTTGCGCTGAAGAATGCCCTTCCCGGAAGCTGAGGGAGGGTTCTCTGACGATCCTGGGTGCAAAGCGTCGCGAAAGTTCAACAGCAACCATTCAGCAATTCCATTTGTTGGTTTGTGGGTTGGTTTGTGGGTTGGTTTGTGGGTTGGTTTGTGGGTTGGTTTGTGGCAAACCGCTGCACGAGGAGAGGTGGGGGCAATCAAACGACAGACGCAATAAAACGAACATCTTGTGTGATCTCGGCTGATGTGCGTGAGCAATATGCACCGAAGAGTGTGAAGACTGGCGCCAACATATTGGGGACGAAAACACGAGCAAGTGCATACACAGCCTCCTAAACGCTCTGCCTGATGATCGAGAAACACTCGGTTGGTGATATGACACAAGATACCACATCCGCCGGATCGATGATCAAAGCCCTATGCATACAATACACTCCACGATAATGAGGGTGCAATAATCAGATAATACATTTTCGGAAAGCGCCCCACGACACGGTTCCAACGATGGTATGATATTGTCCGGCACCGTCACTGGCTTTGCTGCAGAGCAATCGAGCTTTGAAATCGGTCAACGGGTGCACCACACGGTCGTCTACAGCGGTATGGCACCGCACGGCCGCGAGCAACAGCAGTCAGTGCTGCACCGTACCTCTGGAACTCTGTCTACTCTACGCAACACCTTGGCAACGCTTCCACCTCTTTGCCAGATTGTACGCAGGAGTGGCAGGGGGCTTTGGCCCAGGGAGTGCTGCCGCACGGCACAGCCAGAGTACGTTTTTCCGCTCACAGGGCTGCTCACGTCGCTCGCGTTTGTCCAGATGCACTCGTTGTGTTGCTCTCTATCTACCCTACATGCTGACAGCAGGCGCAGACCCCTGGGTAACAACACCCGCACACGAGGGAAACTACAGCCGTGACCTTCCCGCACCTGCATCGCCTAGAGGCTTGAAGCTCTTGCCTCCGCCGAGCCCACGCTGAGACGGTCCGACTTGGTTGATGTTCTCGGCATTCCACTTGCTCAACATGATGTTGTAGCTCAGGTGTCGATTGACGCACGATGCACCCTAGGCAGCAGAACAAACTGCAGGGGTGCAGCACCGATGTCTTTGCTGTCCCAGCCACTGTCTTGATGAGTGCGCCGCTTCTCCCTGTCCCTCCCTCCCTCCCTCTCGACAGCTACTGGCAGGACAACACCTACACCCTTATATTTCCCGCCAAACGACCGTTTGCCAATTTCGCGCGAGAAATCGTTTGTACCGCGCGCCTCCTTGCAGATTTTGATGTTGTATCCGGCTCCTGAGGGATAGCAGCCAGACAAAAGCAAGGAATGCGACTTGGGTGTACAGCCGCAAGCTGTCACGCGTGCAGTCGTTGCAGTCGTGCTGGTCGCAAGCAAGGAGAGCGCGCTCCCGGCGGTACGCGGCGCCGCTATTCGGGGATTTGAGGGAGTTCATACATCATCCACAGCATGTTGAGTTCTGAAACGCTTTTCGTGCTGACGGTTTGCGACGAAACAAGAGAAGGACGAAACGCGACAAAGTTGTATCCATAGACTAGACTACACACATCGGTTTCCAAGGCTCTTTTCTCGAACGGTCGGTGCGGTACCTGTTCTTTTCTTTTTATAATTTTGTTTTCTTTTTCCGAGTGGTTTGGACCCTATTATTGTTTTCTTTCCCCGCGGCGTCGTATGTGCCGGGTGTTGAGACCACGGGCTCCCGGGTTTTGTTGATTAGACTAGTCTAGTCTAGACTAAAAAAGAGCAAATGTGAGAAACAACAACACCAACACACAGGAACCACGAGCCGATGCTAATGAAAAAAACACACACAATTTTCTTTCTAATAATGTGCGTGTTCTTTAGATCTTCTGATGGCTCTAGCATGTTTTTGACGACGGACCGAGTCTTTGCTAGTTTTGGGATTAGTCTACGTAGCAGTTAAATGTGAACAACACACAACCACAAGTCTTGCCTCCAAGTGTGCTGTAGTGTCTCCCAAGAGGGGGCTCCCTGTCGGTAGATGCACGTGCGTATTTCTCCCTGTTTTTGTTTGTTTTGTTTGTTTTCCTCCCATCATTGGACTCTGTCGTCTGCCCCTTTGGCCCCTATCCTCCACTTCTACCAGCTAGACGACCCAACCGGGGTCACATAGGAGGGGGGGCTTGGACCCCCTCCTGCGGTTCCTGCCTGAGATATTTTTATCGCGAGAAGGGTACAGCAATCGCTTCCCTCGCGACTGATGAAATCGATCGAGTTTACTAACAACGAGCTTTGCAGCGCGTCGCTTCCAACGGAGACCAGGGTTTATAAGCGAGGAAAAACTCACTCTGTCGGGACTCGAACCCATGACCTGGCCCATAGCAGGCTGCGAGGCTACCCACTAGACCACCGGGGCGTGTGTGCTTCTGTATCGCTGCCGTCTAGATGTCTCGATTCCTTTCAAGCATGCAGAACAAAGAGCACTGCTTGTGCTAGGATCTGTCGGACGAATTTCGCGCCCCCAACCAAAAACCAACACCACCGCGTAACCTCTCTGCGGTAGTAGGTTCCCTCTTCCGCGTACCCTTTCACACTGCGACTCAGGCTCCACCTATGACGAACTCCATCACCAGCTTTTGGAATATTTTCAGTGTAAGGAAGTTTTGGGTTCTTCGCCCCAGCGCATGGCCGGGAATGGTGGCGTTCCCAGGTTCGGTCCGTTGCCAGCTGGGCGATCCTTGTATTAGACTACTCTCTTGTGCTGACCATTCCTGTTCAGCACGACTCTTATGCCTCCTGGCACGTACCGTAGGGAGTAAATAAGGACTAAGAATAAGTGGACACGAACACCAGTCGCAAACGGCCCACATGGAATATTGACGGGCGAGGTCCGTCGTGTGTTCGCGTCCGCCCGCGATAAAGTGCATGGTCGACATACAGTAGACTACATGTGCCACGATCCCATCCCGGGCAGGAGTAATGCAATTCGAACAGAAGTGCCGGGGGCACACTGAGATAGCCGGTGTGTGGTGTCGATTGCCGCCGGCACACGGAACGTGGGTGGTTGCTCGGTCAAATGCGTGACTGAAAGCACAAGTACAAACTGTTGACGGCGCTATTGCGTGCGTGAATGTAGTCATGTGTAGACTATGTGTCGATCATGGGTTCCTCGAGACCGATCTGCTACTGCCATTAAGCCCCAGCAAGGACCAAGGCGTGGCTGGGGGTCGATACCTGAAACAACAGGTCCACGACTGGGAGCAAGCTGTGCTTGCGTTTGCTCGCATGGAAGGGATCTATCGTCGCCGCGACAGAGTTTCCACAGGCAACCAACAAAGAACGGTGCCAGATGGCCTTCGCAAAAAGCGAAACCTGGATTTGCGCTTGAATATGGGGCTCCCCGTCGTGCAATCGCGGTGAACACGCTTTCTGGCGCTCTGCGTGGGGAGCAGAAGCTAGCTGTGTTTCGACTGCAGGCATCATCACCAAATGGTTTTGCAATATTTTTCGCCTCACAACTCCGACAGACAGAAGTATGGACTACAACACTTTGCACCTTACCCAGTGGATGTTTCTACCCCAATACTGCCCCCCTCTATTTGCCCACCGCTCACAGATTTACAAAACATTGCGTAACTTCCAAAAGCATGACCTTGCAGGACAGAACAAAAAATCTATTTTCTTGCTATCGCCGGGCCACATGGCCACTATCCACTTCCCTCTCCCCTTGAGGCGTACCCGCAAGTTCTCGGGTTTTATCTCTATCTATCGATGGAGCGGTCGATGGTGGGATATGACGCGCATCTTCATCGTGCTCAAGACTTGGAACTCGCACATCACCTAGAGATGGCCGTAGTGGTGCTAACCGCTGCTGGGCCAGAACAGAAACAGAAGAGAAATGCCCGAATCCGGGTTGAACGGGAGAGGCAACAAAAAAAAATGAGCGCTTCGTCAAATACGGTGACAGTTACGATTGAGGGAAGAAAATGCTGGCTGCAAGTGATATTGTTCACACCACGGACCTACAGATGGTTGGTACAGTTTTGAATCAGAGCCAAGGCAAACCTTTTAGAGGTCTACACCGCAGGCTTCATGACGCGAAAAAGATGTAACAAGGCAGGGGAAAGATTCAGGGGTGTTCAGGGCGTGACGGAGGGAGAAAAACATGCGACGGACACCGCGTTGGTGTGGACATTTCAAGTGTACCAGCTCCCAGGACGATTAAGTATGGGCCGAATAGTGCCCGTTACGGTAAATCCGTGGATCGAGTTTGTATTACTCAATTTTCTCAATGCGGGAAAGACCAACCTCAAAATGACACCTTGTACAGCAAAGAGCACGTAGACCATTCCTTCTTGCACGCGACGGCTGGCTGATGATACTCACGGCTGGCTGATGATACTCACAGCAGCCATCCTACGACTTCAACCATGGCGCGATCACGCCAACGGTCACGGTTGCGCGAAAAAACTTTGCTGAACTCCTTGCTTCGAGCAAGAAGTACGAGATGGTATCCAAGGCCACAGGTCTACAACTACACTGGTCCGCCGGCTAATCTTCGATGAGTCCAACAAGGTGCCATGGCCTCACATACGCACCTCCGTAAAGGTAGACCTTCGCGTGTTACCGTCACCACGGTGTCCCTCTGCCTCTTCTTCTCCTGACTGGTCTAACGTCTGCACCGTACCCCGCTCCGAGCCCCCCCTCCTCTCCGCATCTGATGAGCCCCAGTCTTCGTCTACCAGCGGCGTGGCTGGCGTTCCGAGGTCGTCATCGCCGTGTACGTCTGCGTTTCCTGGCAGGGCGACAGAAGTGGTGCCTCTGTCCGTTTCTATTGCTGTTGATACCGCACCTACTGCTGCTGCTGCTGCTGTTGCTGCGCCAGTCCCTTCTGCCGCCGCGTCCCTCGCCGCATCCTTCAGTGCGGCGTCCCAAGCACCGCTGCCGGCCCCCCACGTGAGCTGCGTCACAATAACGCCGCCCAACCCCGGCATCGTTAGGGAGTCCTCCTCCCCGCTATCCGAGGGCACCTCTCCTTGACCACCGCCACCGCCGCCGTCTCCGCTCTGACGGTATCTCAATCTCCGCGGCGCGTCGTCCCCTGCCCTCTTCTCGTTCGTACCGTTATCGTCGTCGCCTTCTTTCCCCACTTCCTCTGGCCTATCACTCGCCCGTCGTATTCGGCTCGTGTCGGGGCCGGCGATTGGTGTTCTTGCTCCTGTCCCTCCCTCAACCCGAACACTTTCTTCACGGAGGTAGGAGGCGAGAGCGGTCGTTCGGCGCTCATGGAACATGCCGCCGCCGCCGCCGCCATCTCCGCCGCCGTCACTCGAGCAAGGGTTTGCCTTCCTGCCTGCGACGTCGCCTCCTTTCTTGCTACCGTATATGGTTTTCCTTGCGGCTAGCTTGATGTTCTCCGCCGCGATTTCCTCGCTGGTTTTGGGTTGAGTTGGTTGGAGTCAAGGGGGGAGGGGACAGGAGGACGGCGTTGGCGTTGGGGTGAAGGACATCGAGGATTGTGTTCAGTTTGTCGCGGCAGCATCAATCTGTGTGTAGTTCTTGATGCGCAGAAAACGGCGTGAGGAGAAGACAAAAAAATGAGCCAAAAGTGATAAGTACATCGCAATGCTATACTTCGTACGCGGTGCCCACCATTGGTTCTCGTGCCACCGAGCATCTATCTCGCGTTGTTACTATCTCCAACCTTGGAGAACCCGTAGGAAATATTATTACCTCAATGTTTCGTGTGCCGCTCGAACTCTAGTCGCACTACATCAGACTCTCACCTTTCCGGCCGAGAGAGTAAAGGAATCGGTTTGGCGCGATGAACCTTCTTTGGTAACAAGGAGGTGTCTTAGAGCGGAAGGTCAACTCCATCTACAACACGATTCAACAGTCTCCCGCGATACATGTATCACCACTAATAAGACGACTGGTGAAGCAAAAAAGAACTTCGAAAAATTGAACCTCGTGTTGAGTACCTGGCTTGCTGGAAAATGGCTTCTTCCAGACCCATCCTCAACTCTTCTGCGAGAAAGGGGTGGTACTGCAGGAGGTAACGGATGCTGCTGTTGGACAGCAGGTATACCTGTCGAGATGGTACAAGGTAGCGGGTCGAAGCACAGGCTTACTTGACGAGCTCGCGCGCGGGTGGTACGGTACACTTGCTCCCTTCGGTGGAAAGTAGTTGGTGGGGGCAGCAATTCACTGGGCGGCTGAACAACTGTCAGAACCAAACCCAAAGACCAATGGAAAACGCTGGCTTGACTTGTTTGCGTAGGTGAAACCAACACGTCGGAGGATGAACGTATGCCGTTACTATTCTTTGATGCGCGCTCGTCACTTCCGAACAAAGTTGCTGTACTTCAAGAATGGGCGATCTGTCGTCAAACCAATGAAGCTATAGGAGAAAAAGTTATGTCAGAATGTTTCAATGACTATCAACTCCTCGTATCAATGCGTACTTTTGACTACTCCAGAGTATTGGACACGTGATCACACCGTGTAACAATTCTTTTTCTGCGCGTTGTGTTCCTCCTTTCGACACTTCGATACTTACATAGAGTTGCGTGAACGCCTTGACCGCCATGTCCTCCTCAAGGAACGACGCGAGGAACCTGGTGTAGCCGAAGAACTTTCCGGTGGACACGATCCCCTTGACCTTCTCTTCCTCCGACCCGGCGCCGCCCGTGACTCTGACGTAAGCCTCGGCGATCCCTTTTGTGACGAAGTACACCCCCTGACTCATGTGTAGGCTTTGGAAGACTACTTCTCCCTGCGAACAGACATAGAAATACGAGTTTCCGCCATGATAAGAGAGGGTGGGCGAGGGAGAGCTCCAGTGTATTCACCGCCATCTTGTCTGCACCCGGGAAGTTATGATGGATATCGCCTTTCTCTGCTTGTTTTTTCGTGCGAGAGGTAGAAAAACAGGATTCCGGTCTCTTCTTGTCACGCAAAAGATGGCCACGAAAAAACAGCCACCACTACTCAGGACCGTTTGATCAAGAAGTCATGGCCTGTCGCCCGCCGAAGAGGAAACAGTTGTCGATCGGCGTCATCAGCGCCGAGGTTGAGGAACACTGTGGACGAGAAGGTAATGTAGACATCACTTTGTAACAGGATACATGCATACCGTGGGTGCGCGAAGGCACCAAGAATCGAAACGAACAACATTCATCCAGCGTTCGTTGTTCACTGTAGAAGCCGAGGGTAGGATTATCTCCAGATGAAACGTACCTGTGAGTACTGTCTCGGCCGAAGGTTCTTGAGGATCGCAGACACAAAACTCGGTGGTCGCGTCTTGAGGATCGGGATGATGAGCACAGCGTCTCTGTGGACGTGCTCTAAGACCCTCTCTTGGAGTCGAGGGGGTAGTCTGGACAGGATGTGATCCTCGTTCCAGGCACTCCTCGCACCCGTCACAAACATCATGTGTGTCCTCACAGACTGGGGTTGGAGGGTAAGAAGGAGGAGCAGGCCAGCGACACACATGGGGTCGGTGATCGTTTCGTAGTTTGTTGGCGGATGCGTACAGTGAATCGTCTTGGTGTTAGCGAACGTTGACTTTGGTTGGAGCCGTGTTTTCAGTTTGGATCCCTCGGTTCCCGCAACTTCTGTCCCTGCTGTGCTATATTTCTCGATCAAGGTAACAACGGTCAGCTTGTGTCAACCTTGTCCAATACCCCAAACATTTATATGTCGTGTGACTTCATTTTTTGGTATCATTACAGCCAAGGGTACTACTGTAGTTCCAGTTTACAACGCGAACGAACGGAACAAAACAACGACGACGTCGCTCCCCTTTGCAGGCGACAAGAGAAGCAGGATTCACGGGCAAGCTAGCCTCGTGCGCGGATAAGACGTGCAAACATGACGTACAAACGTCGCGTCTTGAGTTTCACAGATACGAAGCCTTCCGCCGAACGCATTGTGTGGTTTCCCTAACATTTTTTTAGGGGCTTCTGGCGCCGGAATGGACGTATACAGGCGGCTATTTCTCGCAACAGGTGCCCACAGTGGACTCTCCCGAGGCGACTAACGAAGCGTTGCTTTTGTACCTGAGAGAGAACAAGATTTTAACCGCCCCCGGCGGCGTACCCGCCCCACAAAGAAGGGTTCTCCGGTAGTACCGGAGGTTCTTCTACCGCTTATTCTCACAACCAACCACCCGTCCGTGGATATCCCCGAGGTAGCGAGAGTTTGAATATTTGCGTTGCGTCTGGGAGATAAGCGAAATATTCATCGACCGTACGACAGGTCTCGACGACGACAGAGCATTAAATGCACTCACATCGCCCAGATGAGCCCCGACTTTCTGCTCCTCCAGATAGTTTTCGACATTCTTCAGTTCCAAGCTACGCCGCACGTTTCCCCCAGTTGGATTCCTGCCGGCGAGGAGAAACGGTCACGTCAATGCGGCACTAATAATAGCAGACCTTTCAGGTGATGTTTCGATTCTTGAACATGGAGATTAGGTTTTTCTGCTTCCGCGTCGGAGCGATGGGCTCAGCCTGTCTTCGGAGCTGTTCGCTCATCCTTGGTGTAGTCTATTTGCCCCCCCCCCCGGACCACCCCTCGCAATCTAGACTTCAGTGGGTTGGCGCTGTTGGCAAAGCGCTGTAAAACACGCCACCCCAAATATAGCCC